AAGAGGGATGCCGTAATCTAGTTGCAGAATATTTGAAGGTAGGTAAATGACGATTTACCAATTTCCACCATGAAAAACGAAAAAAAGAAAATTAAGTTTTAAATGAATTGAAACTCCTAGATCTTTTGAGATTCATTGAACTTTTCAATGGCATGTTTTAATCTCGATTATGCCCTTCTATTTGTGACCGGGATGCCGAGGATCACAAACAAGGTGTAAATAACCATACGAATCACGTGGTGCACCCAATTGCTACTATCATTTAATCAATGTGCCGGTTAGCCACACACGCTCCATTGATCTATGATAAACATCGAGCCACCCTTCGCCACCAATGTCAATCCCAAATTAGTGTGCCGGTTAACCACACACGCTCCGCTAACGTTTCGACAAAAGTACAAAGTGTAATTCCATGGATTAGCATACAATTCCACATTTTTCCTAAAGTAACTATGATTTGGGAATTTATAAAAGCATTTAGTTACTTTGTACTTCATTATACTTATAATGGAAGGTTTTGTCCTATCCTACCCGTTCGGCTAACGACCCTCCACTAGTCAAGAGTGCGGTGGGTAAGAGTGGATACCCATTCAATCGCCATTTTATAGGCAATTTCCTTAAACACCCCTTATAGACCAGCTTCGTGAATGAGGCCTACTAACGGTAAGACTGACTCTTTACTCATATATATAATATTAGACTTTTAATGTTACATATATATAGTATAGGGTGTATTTTACACTTTTAAAATACTAGGTGGTTTTATTAACTTTCTCTTTTAATTAAACCTTTAATTAACTTAACAAAACCATGAGGGTGTAATTTGAACTTTTCAAAATACTTGAGTTTTAGAATTTAAATATTCAATAATTAAACTATTAATCAAAATTTTAAATTCCAAAACTTGAGGGCAAGTTTTGAAACATTTCAAAACATTAGGATTTAACTATTTAAATTTCAAAAACAAACTTTTAGGTTCAAATTTAAACTATAAAACCTAAAGGGAGTAATTTGAAACTATTCAAACTTACTAGGGATCAAATAACAAATAATATAAATCAAACAATTAATTTAGTGATTATCTATATTTGACCTAATTCAATTTCTTACAAGATAAGTTACCCAATTAATACAAATAATCAATTTTAATCATATAAGGAATTTATTATCTAATCAATTGGTAATTATCTTGTGTTTTGGCAAGGATAATCATTTAATTAAGATAAAATTCGGATTTTAACTTCAAAAAACGATTTAGGCATCAAATCCAAGTCAAAACAGCAACAAAATCTCGAAATATCCTCTGCCTGACGCACAAACTCACCGAGTCAGCTCTGAACTCGCCGAGTAGGGCCAACTCGCCGAGTCCAGATACTGACTCGCCGAGTTGAGTCGGGCAGAGACAAAAAATTCGATTTTCAGCAAGCAAAACAGTTAAGCATCACATACAATTGAAACCAATCAAGGCTCTGATACCACTGATGGGATTTATGCATAAGAAACAATCCTATATGCTCATACAAACCCTAATGCTTGGATCTAGGTTTCTGTATTGTACATGCTTTGAATCCAAGACTTACAAACCCTAGATCTATCAAATAAGAACTGAAATAAGGGTTTAGTAATTACCTTTGATTGTTATATAGCAATAACAATCAATCCTTGTTTTGATTAGCTTCAGAAAGCTTAGTGCCTCAAGTGTTGCACCTCTAATGGAGTCACAAACACCACTAAGCAACTTGGATGAAGAAGGAGGAGAGAGGAGGCAGCCAAAACGTCCAGAAACCCTAATCTAAGAGTTGTTCACGTTTTTGGGCATAAAGGGCTCTTTATATAGGTGTAGGCTATTAGGGTTTACAACTAGGAAACCCTAATCTGACTGCTTAGGCCCTAAGCAGCCCATGGATCCCTTTCTTTAGAGTCATGGACGAAATCTTATGGGCTTCCCCATAAATATCGTCCACTCCACTCTATGGAGTCCATTAGCCCACTCTTGCAATTATCTTATAATTACAATTCCAGTCCCTTAAGTTTAATTAATCTCTTTTAGTCACAAAATTAATTCTTAATTAATTCTTGACTAATATTAATTAAACAATATGATTTCTCCTTTAATATATTATTCTTATAATATATTAATAAATCATAATTCTCCTTAATTCATCCTACATATTGCTATGGTGAAGGCAACCCAAAAGGACCATGCTCATAATCGGGTCAAGTACATACCAAAATAGTTATGGACTTAGACACTAATCCAACACATGGCAGCGGCAACAGTTAACGGCGACGGTTCACGTCTTCAGCGGAATGACACAGCGGCGAGACATCGGCCCAGAACAGCGGTGACGGCGACTGAGAGGAGTTCTCACGAGCAACCGACGACAGCAACACAAGCAGCTTCGAGTTCCGGCGGTTCGGTGCAGCTTCACGCCCCCATCCTCAGTTGGTCTTCAACGCTGCCGGTGATGAGGGCTACCCGACAGTGCTAGGCTGTCGGAAACACGAGCGAGGTGGAAGGTTGCGGTGGCGCCAGAGACGAAGAAAGGGAAGTGGCGGCCGAAGGATGAAGAAGGAGTGAGGAGGGGTGACGGCTGGAATGTCCAAGCATGACGGCTGCTTCTTTTGCTTAGAGTTAGGGTTTCCTGGTGGGAGGTTAAGGGTTATATACCCGAACCCTAATCCTTTTTCCCATAATGATACATTTACCCCCTAGTTCTCATTTTCCTTCACTTTAAATCCTTAATTTACCAATTAAACCCCCGCTCCCATAATTCTTTTCATAATGAGTCCGTTAGTTACCAAACAACCCCTTAACTCCCAAAATCTCTTCAAATTAAGCCCCAATAATTACCATTTAGTCCCTGCCTTCCATAATACTTACAAATTAAATCCGGATTTTACACTGTTAACCACCGACTTCTAAAATTGTGACAATTAGCTCTCCGAGACCAACCTTTGATGTATAATTATTTATTTTAGGGCCACTATCCGCTCATAAATTTTATCTATTTAATATTTAATAAACGGGGTGTTACAATAACCTAAAAGAATTGCAAAATTTTATTTTTGTCTAAAAGATATAATTAAACTTTATCTTGGATATATAGTATATCATTAAACTTGATATATTGTTTATAGAAAATGTTATTATTACCGCTAATAAAAACTTTAATGTTAATTTGATATTTTTTGGTAACATGGATAATACATGGCTAAGAATAATCTTTTAGCATAATAACAAATTTTTTTATTTGTAGAAAAAAAATATCATATAATTTAATAAACTGTATACAAAATAATTTTTTTAGTTTGTCTATTATACTTATTTGGTGAGTTTGGACATATTTCCCTCTCTCACTTTTCTATATTATTTTTTTGGCCGAATTTTTTAATTAATTTTTTTAGAACAGTTAACAAAGGCACTCACTATCATACTCTTAAACCAAAGCCATATAATATTTTGTAGCATTAGCCCATTATTAAATAATATGTTATAATTATATCAAATAAATACATAAAAATATTAATCCTAAACATTGTATTAGTTTTGTTTAGATATATGAGATTCAAGTTTAAGACTTTTTAAAAAATGTTAACATCACATATGAATACATAAAACTATATTTTGGGAATGAAACCATTTGAGCATAAGTTGAAAATCCAAATAACAATAATGATACCGCACACTTAAATATCAAAATACGATGGTTGGCATTATTAACAATGGTTGGAATATGGTGAATGAGCAAAACTGACAAAACTATGAAATTTTGTTATAGAGAAAAGAAAATTGAATAGTTGGCCTACTACCTCATTTTATTAATCTATCTTATGTATACATGGTGTTTAGATCAATACATGGTGTTTTTATATTACTGTTATTGATTCTTAAGGATAATCATAATAATTACCAAAATAAAATTTAGGATTTCATTTTAATTTGAAAGGATATAATCACGTTTTTATGCATGAACGAAGTTAAGCTTCATTAAATTGGTGTAGTTAAATACCTTATACAACTAGTGTTAAAGGTTGTAACCAATTTTAAAGTTGAGTTTATTTTGAAATAAAAAGACATTTTAGGTCTAAACTGGAAAAAAGTACAAAATGTAGGATTTTTTATGAAATGAAAATACTTAGGGTGCGTTTGGTTGTGGAAAATTGTTTTCATTTTCTAAGAAAATGTTTTCAGAAAATAGAGTTGAGTTTTCGTTTACAATTTTCAATGAAAATTTTAGAAAACGTGTTTGGTTGAAACCAGGGGAGTTTTCATTTTCCATCTTAGAAATTTGAAAAACTGTAAAAATCACTTTTCTAATTTACATACAATTTGGAAAATTGAAAATTTTCATTTTCTTGGAAAATTTTGGAAAACTGAAGGAACCAAACGCGTTTTCAAAATTTCCGTTTTTCTTGGAAAATTTTCCACAACCAAACGCACCCTTAATTTCTCTTTTGGTAACCTGCTAGGGTCTAAAATAACAAGTAATAGGTAAAAGTTGAGTATTTTTCAGAAAAGAAAAAAGTTTTAGGTGTAAAAAGAAAAAAATCAAAATATAGGGTCTTTTATGGAAATAACCCTTTTTTGAATGATGTTCTTAAGATGTTTATATGCAAAGCCCTTTTTGGTCATTTTGCACTCATATAACAGGTGCATATTAATCGCTATTTAAGGGGGTGTTTTGGATTGCTTAAAAAATAATTTTTTGACTTTTGGTTTTTTTAAAAAGTCAAAAATTCTAAAAGATGTTTGACATTTGCAAAATAACTTTTAGAAATAACTTTTTAACAAGAAGGAATCGTTGATTTTACAAAAGACAAAAAAAACATAAGCTTTTGTGACTTTACCTTCCTACAGTGTAAATTACTTTCAAAAATAAAAAAAAGATATTTAAAAAACACTTTTTAAAATTGACTTTTGACTTTTAGTCGGTTAAAAGTTAAAATAAAAAGTTAAAAGAACTTTGAAAAGCAATCCCAAACTCCCCCTTATTTTACTTGTAGATATTCAACAACCACACCCCTGCGCAGCCATGGCATATGCGAATTGGATACACTCATCGGCCCTCTTTCACGCTGCCTTCCCAACTAGTAGCCGTCGGAGGGATACTCTTTCGTCAAGCTTCCGTCCAGCCACTTCCTCCGATGGCCGGCCGATATTCTCTTCAAATTACCAATACAAACCTCCAGCCGTCGCCGTCCAAGCTCAGGCCAAGCGAGGCTTCTCCCTGAAAAAGGAAGAGGAAACAGCTTCAGGTAAAACATCTCCTCTGAATGCTCATTTATACCAATAAATTGATGCTTCACAGGTTCAGAAAATTTCTTCTATCTCCAGATAAGCTGTTAGGTCTTAAATTTAGTAACTGCATAAGTTTGAGTATTCAACAACAAACCCGTAATTCTCAAATCACGTATAAATTGCTTCTAACTACTAGTATATCATATGACCGTGGCTGCCATTTCAGCGGCTGATATGCAGTTTGAAGCTCCGCTCAAGATTGTGCTGTATCCAGACCCTATACTGAGGGCAAAGAACAAGCCCGTTGCTACATTCGATGAGAACTTGAAGAAATTAGTAGACGAAATGTTTGATGTAATGTACAAGTAAGTGTTCTTCCCTCATTTATCTGCACTCTTGTAATAACCTTGAAACATTGAAGTGATTGTTTCATTTTCATTGTTTAGGCTTATAGCAAATGTTGTTATTTACAGGAGTTGTTGGCTTCCTTGTCCACAGAACTGATGGAATCGGGCTCTCAGCACCCCAAGTTGGAATTAATGTTCAACTTATGGTGTTTAATCCGGTTGGTGAGCGAGGTGAAGGAGAAGAAATTGTTCTTGTAAATCCACGTGTCACAAGATATTCTAAAAAGTTGGCTCCTTTTACAGAAGGATGCTTATCTTTTCCAGGCATCAATGCTGATGTGGTGGTATTGTAAATTTGTAATAACATACTGTATTACTTTTCCTACTGCTTCATTTGTTTGACCTTTGACTGACTTTTTACCGTTTTACAGAGGCCAGAAGCTGTTAAGGTTGATGCGCAAGACATAACCGGTGAAAAGTTTTCAGTTGGCTTATCAGGCCTCCCTGCACGGGTTTTTCAACATGAATTTGATCATTTAGAGGCAAGTTAAAACAACATTTTTACAAATTTAGTTTCTAAACTTACCTATTTATATTTGTATGCTACAGGGTGTTCTCTTCTTTGACAGAATGACTGCACAAGTTGTTGATAGCATTCGTACACAACTACAGGTTAGTAATTATTATTGTTAACCAAGAGGGTTAAACTTGTAAATGGGTAAAGACGGGTGATGTGGCGCTGACATGGAATATGCTGTTCAAATGGCATCCATGTGGACCTTGTGATTGATTGATTTTATGACATGAAACAGGAGCTGGAACAAAAGTATGAGGATAGGACCGGATTGTCAAGCCCTGAAAAGATAGAAACCCGCAAAAGATGGAAGGCGGCTGCTGGATTTGGACGATCTTGATTCGATTGTCGCCATTATGGTAGTAGTGTTTGTATACTTGATACTAGTTTTTCATTTTAGGCAATATATATATATATATATATATATATATATACTATTTTTTATCTGTTTTTAGGCAATACATTTTTTCAGTTAAGTAGAAGCAACATGCGGTAATTTCTTTTTAAAGCTGGAATCTAAAGTATGTTGTTATTTTGTTTTGAATAATATAATACATTAACTAAAGGGGTATGTCATAACTAATTACTAATGTTGTTTATAGTGAGTGCCATTATGACCTTAATAAATTATGGCATGCTATAACATGTTTGACCGGTTTTGGGTAACGTAAGCCGGAGGAAGACGATTTTTCAGAATATCTTCTAATAAAGTTTTGGCAAGTCCTTTGGTTGGCAATTTGGCTAGACCTTGCCTTTGGCTACTTGCTCTCAAACGAAATGAATGGAATTCAATTTATATGTGTTTTGTGTGATGATGTTGAACCAATTTATTGGAGAGGTAGATAGCACTGACATTGTCACAATATACCGTTGTAGCTTTCGTAACAAGAATAGATAGCCCAAGTAGAAGATTATGTATCCAACATGCTTTAGATATGACATTTGTTATGACTCGGTGTTTGGACACAAAATAAGATTATCACCGAGATGTTGGCTTGTCTTTTGGCGGACCGGGAAAAGATTATCACCGAGAAAAATACAATATTTGAACATCTGACCCAATTTGCCTCAATATAGGCTGTGAGTTTGGAAGATCAAGATTTTTAAATAGTGATGTCCTAGTCCATTGTGCCACGAATATAATGTAATATATGTTTGAGGGTAGTCATGTAATATATAGTGATGTCCTAGTCCATTGATTATATATATCTAATCAATGTAGTATGAATACATGTTTCCATGCAACGAGAAATGATGTTTAATTTTTCTTTGGATCGTAAACAAGTGAAAGAAAAACAACTACACACTTATTATTCAAGGACCATAACCTTTTACATTTTTTTAACTTTGCTTTGGGTAACTAGAATGTGGAATATGTATTTTTTTTATTATTATGTAGAAATGTTCAATGCAAATTTAAGATGTATAAAATTGTATAAAATATAAAAGTTAAAAGTTAAAAGCATTAAAAACAACTTGAAGTAAATTTTGGATTATACATTTCGTTTAAACTAAAAGTTTCAAACTCATATTGTTGAACGAATATATTTCTTTAATTGAGTTTCTCCTTAATAGCAAAAAACTCTCAAAAGCTCGTTGTCTAATAGTACTCTTAAGTTGTGTGTGTCAGACTAACTGAAACTATAACTTCTAGTTAAAATGACAAAAATATCCCAAAAGCACGTTGCCTAATATTACTCTAATGTTGTGTGTGTCAGACTAACTAATTGAAACTATAACATTTAGCTGAAAAACTAGTTTTTACTTGATAAACTAGTTGATAATTAATAAAATAAGAACTTTTGATACAAACTATCAGATAAATAAGATGACAATATAAAATATAAAAGCACATAAAACATTTCAAAAACATAATTAAAAATTAATGTTATATATGGGAAAGAATTATCAAATTCATTAAATAACTAAAACAAATAATAAAAATCTATAAAAATAATGAGAGACCTTGTTGTATAAGACACTAAAAGTTTATATATTTGGTAATATTTATATAATAACCCTTGACAATAAAAACAAATTAATTATTTAAAAAAGATAATACAACAATTGAGCGATTTAAAATTTGGAGAAATTTTGTTTTCAAATGTTTTGGAACAAAAAGCTACGAATGTTTAATTGGTTAAAAACATAGAAAAGGAAAACTTGAAGATGGGTTTATAGGTATACGTGAAAGGTTGCGAAAAAACTATAAAATTGTTTTATGAGTAAAGGACAACTCTATCATAATACTTTAAATGCTTTCTCAAGAAATAACAAAAAGATAAACACTATAAATTTCGCTATGAAAATCGAAGTTGGGCTAGATTAGGCTACGATTTTCATGTCTTGGGTTACAATTTTGTGATTTTATGAACTATGCATCAAATAAAGGTATGGATATCAATATTACGTACGAGATATCAATAACAGCCCAATAAACTGTTTCTAAGTCACTAAGTCGGTTAGCACTTTATCGCAACCCAATAGAAGCAAATTGCAGCTCAATCCAGTCGAAGTATGAGTCTTCTAAGTCATTAAAACTTCGCAACCAAAAAGAAGAAAATCGTAATCCAATAAGCTATTTCTGTAGCCATTAAGGGTGTGATACATTTTTTTTTCAATGGTAAAAGGGGCAATCTAGAGGCCACATCATATTTTATATTTTTTTTATAAATTTTACCTACGAATTAGGGTATGGTATTTTACCTATAATTTTTTTTTTATATAAAAAAATTTCAATTTTTTAATAAATACCATACTAAAATTAAAATAACATAAATTAAAAATTACATTTTAGAAATCATAAAAATAAAAAATAACATGAAATTAAAAATTACAATAAAAACCTAAAAAACAAACATGGAGTGAAAAATAAAAAAACGTAGAAAACAAACATAACATTCAAATTTTAAATGCGTTTGAACTTATTTTTCAGGAATCGAAGCTTTCACCAATTTAGCCGCCTCCGGATCTTCAGGGTCGAGGTGGCTCACATCTTGCATCAACAACGAATATTCTATGAGTCAGACCGTTTCAGCCGTATGCTTCTCCAAAGGTGTGTTCGATTGTGCCAATGTGTCATCATTTCCTCCGATCCAGTTGACCGCTCCGTTCCAACTGAAAAATTTGATGATGTTGCTTTTCCTTTTTTTTCCTCGAGCATTTGCTTTGTCCTTTCCCATGGGACGAGGAGGCGGACGTATTTCTTCGATGTCATCGTTATCATCGTTAAGATCAACGCCAATGTGACCATCCGATGATATTTGTTGTGAGCTCGAATATGAAGATGTTCGGCTCTTTTTGGCGGATTAGCAAAGTCTTCATGTGTTGCAAGCTCCTTCCACGGTTCCATCTAATGCTTCTTTTGACAACTTCCCACACATGAATGAACTTAAAAGGCTTCAACATGTCATCTTGGAATGTCGCGTGCGTTTTTTTCAACAAAGCTCGCTTCACTTTTGCTGCTAGCCCATTGCTTTTTGAAGTTTGTGTAAATTTGTTCCAATGTGTCACAAGTTTGTTAACAATATTTCATTTCGAGTTACATTGGTTAGACGTTCGATAATCTGGGTACCTATTGGCTTCAGACTTTTCCTTCCTAGCTACCCGGATCTGATGCACAAAAAGAGGCCATTTAGTCTCGACCCATACCAATACAAAACCGCTCCGTAACACGTAACCAAAATTGTTCAAGCGATTGTCCATTTCCCTTGTTGCTATCTTCTGATATGTCGACCCATGCCCTTGCTAATTCAGTCTCTTCTTTTTGAGTTCATCTTCTTGGATCAGCCTTCCCTTTTTTTGGTTGTAGTTGTTCTTCGAGCTCGGAATCAAAAAGTGTTTTGGTTACGGATGTGAAAGGCGGTTGAAATTGAAATTGGAATTGGGTTTGCGTTTGGGTTTGGGATGTTGTTCGGGGTGGTGGGGATTAGAATTGAAATTGTTGTGACATTTGTAATTGTGAATAATAGCTTGGAACACCGCCTACAAACACTTGGTTTTGAGATGAATCTATTTGTGGTCGGAAAGGTGGTGATGATGCCGGATCGTAACCGAAAAATGCAAATCGGTTGGAAGCATTTTGGTTTGAAGCATTTGGGTTGGAAGAGTTTGGGGTGTTAGAAGACATTTTGATTATGTGTGTGTTTTGAAATATGTGTGTGTTTTCAAATTAAAGGTAAATGAATAATTCGTAGATTAATTTTTTTTAAATAAAACGGTAATAAATCCATTTTCTTCCAATGTTCAAATTGTTCAATTTCACCATCGGTGGTTTCCACCGTCGGTATCTCATCGACGGTAAAATAGGGGGTAGGGCGCGGTGTTTACTGGCAGTAAATGTGTCCACGTCGGACTACCGCCGGTAAAACACAATCCACACCGTTTAGCCTCAACATTTTAGCGCAACCCAATAAAAAAACCGCAGCCCAATCCGGATCAACTTAGATTTTCATGATTAATTTTGTAATTTCTTAAAAATTTTAGTTATTATTTGGAAAATCACAAGTAGCTAAGCTAAATTTGTCTTCGACCATTTCCGAACCACGATATCCTATTTAATTTTTATAAAATGTTTTTATATGTACAAACGGCAAACCAAATAAAACTTTAGAAGACTACTATTGGTAGACATTATCAATTTAGAGGAATGTCCAAAACAAAAATCGATATTCAACAAATCCCTTTTTGACTTTGACAGACTCATTTATTATCCATTTATCAGGACACCAATGAACGCGGGTTTATCCAATATTTTACGTGTATTTATTGATACAATCAGCGTATAAAGAGTGAAGGGTGTTAATGATTTGAATTAAAGGTAGCAATGGAAAGTTCAGTAATAAAAGAAGCACCCTCATCCAACCGTTATAAACTTTGATCCCAGTAAGATCAACGGCTACAAAGCCTTTTACAGCAACATTAATACCAAGGCCACCATTCAACAACTTCCACGTGCATCCTAGGGCCACACCAGCCAACGTATACGGACCTCTAAACTCGCACCTAAATCCAATTTCATAAAACCATTTCAAGTCCGCCCTGCAACAAATCACGAAAGGGGAAAAACCATCCAGCTGCATCCCGAGAAGATCCACAGAGATTATTGAGTAGCACTCGTACATGGTTAAACCTTGTAAGAAAAATCTCTGAAGCATCATAGACACCGGCTTTACCTTCTCGCTGTAAAGAGCGATTGCAAAATTTTTGAGGTTTTTTGCTCTGGCGTTGAATTTGATCGGCGTTTTTGCAGATTCATCTTCATTTAGCTACTACATCATACAGGTGTGTTTTGTAATTCTTGTCTATTCTTTTTGGATTCAGTTTGTTGTTTATTTTGTGATTTTGGGGATGGATCAGAACTTTGACTTTGATTTTAAAAGTGAGAAAGTTATGAAACGTTCAAGCTCTAATTGGACCTCGGACCTCAGAAATTTTGGAACCTCATTTTGGCAAGAAACGATTTTGCGTTCAATTTTTACTAAACCCTCGTTATTGGATCACTTTTAGTTTTAGCTTTTTGAATGTAAAACCCCTAATGTCAGTTTTTAGTGTAAAGATACGCCGTTGGATGTGGGTGTTTAGAAATTTAAGAACAGGTCGTCAAGCTCCAGCAGCTAGGCAATAGATTTATGAAGGATCTGGAAAAGTTGGGAAGGAAATTTACCTTCAAAGAACGAAGAATGTATAGATCCCGACTTATAGTTTCTTTGCTTTTTCTCCGACGGTTGCGTTAAAAAAGGTTATAGTTTGTAGCTACTAGTTTGCAAATCAAGCGATAAATAGCTAGGTTTGTCAATAAAAAAATGCAGTTGGAGCTTGGAAGCGCTTATAGAGAGTAGTCTGAGACATTTATTAGAAAATATGGTAGGTGTTAGAAATGAAAAAGCTTATATACACAAACATGGATACCAAAGGAAGTACTTCTGATTGACATTAATTAATCTGTATCCTGCCATGTTTCTTCCTGTATAGAAATTGGTCGACATGGGTCTTGCCCTTGATCATCTCTTACAATGTCTATGTAGTGAAACTTTTTAGGTGCATGAATATGGACACCCTAGGCAACTGGAATATATAATTAATGATGTATTTTGTCAATGTGACAGTTTGTATGATGAATGCTTTGAGTTGCTAAAGTCTGTGTGTTCCCAAGTATTATACTGCCTGCGATGTTTCGTGTTAATACAACTTCGCATTATTTTATTAGAAAATGAGCTTTTCCTGGGGAAGTAGAGAGAGAAAATTGAGCAACAAAGGCGAGTGCATAGCTGACTGATTGTTTAGAAGAGCATTAATTTTGTTCTAAGGTTACATATATCAACAACGGAGACTAAAAATGTTGACTATTAGTTGAATATCTTAAAAGCTCTCCAATAATCACAGAACAGGAGAATCCTGTTGATAAAAAGATTTGTGATATTTGTATGATAACATATTTGTTGTGGTTGTGAAGTTGATATTATCTAATGAGATGTGTGTTATACAGATTAGAGGCGTTTTATAAAATTACATTCCCCCAAGTCGGTATCCCAGAAGATGGCTTCTGTTGGAATGGCTCCACTGACAGCTGAAAAAGTTGATGGTGATTCAATGTTTGTTGACAAACTGCCTGAGGAAATCAATGAAATGAAAATCAGAGATGACAAGGTGGAAAAGGTCGTCTTTTTTTTTTAACACTTTTCTATATGTGCATTGAGTGCATCTTTTCTACAGTGAATTCTGACACACATAAATGATAAACCTATCCTGTTGTAGGAAATGGAGGCAACTGTGGTAGATGGAAATGGCACTGAAACTGGTCACATTATTGTTACTACTATTGGAGGCAGAAATGGTCAGCCCAAACAAGTAAAATTATCAAATATGAATCACTTTCTGTATTTATATGATATAAATTTGATTGAGTTTTTATGTTTCAGACAATAAGCTATATGGCAGAGCGTGTGGTGGGGCAGGGTTCATTTGGAATTGTGTTTCAGGTAACAAATAAATACTAGTAAATACTGTATAAAGGAAACACAAGATATATGATGTGGAATTACTGTTTTACCCCCCCTCTTGGAATTGAACTTGTGCAGGCGAAATGCTTAGAGACTGGAGAAGCTGTTGCAATTAAAAAAGTATTGCAAGATAAACGATACAAGAATCGGGAACTGCAGACAATGAGACTTCTTGATCATCCGAATGTTGTTTCACTCAAACACTGCTTCTTTTCAACAACAGACAAAGATGAACTTTACCTGAATTTGGTTCTAGAGTATGTACCTGAGACAGCTTATCGTGTAGCAAGACACTACAGCAAGGCAAACCAAAGAATGCCCATGATTTATGTCAAACTATACACGTATCAGGTATATTAATTAAGAATCCTGTCTTGTTATTTTTTTATTCCTAAAAAGTTATGTTATATATTATGTAATGTGGTTTGGTTTGTTTTTCAGATTTTCAGAGCACTTGCATACATTCATGCAATCGGTGTGTGCCACCGTGACATCAAGCCTCAAAATCTTCTGGTGAATCCGCATACTCACCAACTCAAACTCTGTGATTTTGGAAGCGCAAAAGTTCTGGTAATATAATATATTAATATTAATATTATTATGTTTGTTTGATTTGATTATCTTGAATTTGATTGTAAGTTGTAACAAACAGGTGAAAGGGGAACCAAATATATCGTATATCTGTTCACGATATTACCGGGCACCTGAACTCATATTCGGGGCAACTGAATACACCACTGCCATTGATGTCTGGTCAGTCGGTTGTGTCCTTGCTGAACTCCTTCTAGGACAGGTTCTTTCTCTGCCTCTTTAGTCTTTACTTCACCTCCTAGTTATTATTATTTTTAATTTTTTTTTTTACAATATCCTTTTGTGCCTTTTTCTAGCCCTTATTCCCTGGTGAGAGCGGAGTTGACCAACTTGTAGAGATCATTAAGGCAAGTAATTTATTATGCGTTTTTTTTTTTTCTGAAATATTAGTTTTTTATTTTTATTTTTGAATTATGTTATGTGTGTAGGTTCTTGGTACACCAACTCGTGAAGAAATCAAATGCATGAATCCAAACTACACAGAATTTAAATTCCCACAAATCAAAGCTCACCCCTGGCACAAAGTGAGTTTTATTTTATTTTATATTTTATTTAGAGAAGCCCAATTTGGGGTTTGCTTTTTAAGTGTATAAATGTGATGTGTAGATTTTTCACAAGCGGACACCCCCAGAGGCTGTAGATCTTGTTTCAAGACTCCTCCAGTATTCTCCCAACTTGAGGTGCACTGCTGTAAGTGCATGGATATCTTATCTTCTTCCTTTTTGTTTTGTTTATTATTTATAGGCAGCATATTCATGTT